CAAATGTTTTCCCCTCTACCAAAGTGATGTGCTGGCCATTACTTGGCTCTAGAGCTGCAATAGGAAAAGGTCTAAACCTCGATTTTGGGCATTATAGCCTTTAAGCTTGTTAAGAAGTTGCAATTATCTTATAAAGTTATTGGTGCCCCAATGAAGATATGTAAATTGCCTTATAGTAAAGTTATGCTAATCCCACTTTTATTAAAACTTTTTTTTTAAATAAAACCCTTAATTCCTTGTAATTGAATGTAACCAAAGTAGTTTTAAAAAGGCATTTCACTTTTCACAAAGCACGTAGGAAACTTTTAATTAATAGCCAAAGACTTTGGTTTTGCTCAGACTGTATGAGTCGAGTGTACATTTAGTCATCATGGCTCAAATTGAGGATGAAAATGTGTCAGTGATATATCTGCTGTAGGTATTAATATTATTAAAAAATAAGAAAATATTGTTTTAATAAAACCAGTCACTTCTAGCTATTTAGCTACTCTCCAGAAAAAAAAGAGGATTACCTATTTTTAAGTAATCTCATTCACAATATAATTTAACCTGCGCAATACACACACACACACACACACACCTACACACACACACACACACACACGTTTTATGGTTGTGGCACAACAAGGTTGCCTTTTGGCTCTTGCCGAACTGCGAGAGACAAAAGCTTGCCAACATTTTCAGAGGTATGAGCTCCTTTATAAGTCGTTATATTAGATGTAATGAAAGGCTCATTTGGAGAATGGATGGAGGTTCCTGCAGGGCGAATTTGTTTTGGGAATGCGTCTGCTGTAACATCCCCAAAACAATCTATTCTTCAAACGACTGACTTCATCATGGTTTTTTATTCTGAATACACTGTAAATCCCATTCTTCCCCACTACATCATTACTCACTCAATATCCAGCATTTGTTGTGTGCCGATAAACATACAAATTAAACTGGGGCTTGTTGCAGTGAAAAAAAAAAAAAGGAATAAGAATGCAAATCCGGAGGAATCTGAATGAGTTAAATTCGAATCAGACGAGCTTTTTCTCATAATTAGCCAATTGTGTTTGGAGAGCGAGGAAGTTAAATCTGCTTCTCGCTTTAAATAGGAATGTCTAGAGGCATTTAAAACAATGACTTATCTCTAATACACCGAGCACGTCTGGAAGACTTCCTATTAACATAGGATAACTGTGTGTTTGTTTTGGAAAGGACGCACGTTGAATTTTTTTCTAAAGCTTGCCTGTGTGCTTTTAAATGAAGAAAAAGTTGCATGTTTACAGGTTTCAGCTTATGATGTGACCCTGAACACTTGCCTTTGTAATATGTCTTTATGGACACATAGTTGCCCTGTGTTTCATTTAATTCTTGTTTAAGTAAAAAAAAAAAAAAAATTGTATACGACAGGGTGATTTATTTATATATGAATAAACCTAGAGGAATGCCTGGCTAATAGTTTTATAAACTTGAAAAAGTTTCTGCAGCATTCAGAAAGGTTCCATCTTAATTTAACATCTGCCATAAAATCAGTCCTAGTCTTTACAGGTGTTTAAAAAAATTTGCATATATTATTTCTACACATTTAAAAAAAAACAGTAATTAAATGAATCAAAAATATTTCTCATTTCATTTATCATATCATTTGATAATCATATCAAATGATTTAAGTCATTTGATCCAATGACTTAAATCTGTTATAAATTATGCCACAAAATGCATTACAAAGAACAGCAGCAGTAGTGGATTTACTACATGAGCCGATTCCTTTTGAAAAACAACGGGGGGCTAATCTTGCTTTTAATATCAAAAGTGGCAACTAATTGGGTGTGGACCTCGCCTCCGAGAGAAAGCGCGGACACGTGGAGAAGACCCGGGGACTAGCGTTGGCAATCTGGCAGCGTCGGTCGTGGCAGATGGCGGAGACGGTCGGCCAAGTAGCCTCCGTTGTCGGCGCCATTCACAAATAGTGCAACTTCATGAGCCGATTAGGGACAGCGGCGAAGACGAGCTGCCGCCACCCGCTGCGCGGCATTAAAACCCCTGTGTTTTGCTTTCCCTTCTTTCCAACTACAGTTCAGCCATCCGTCCCCCTGTGGGATCTTTCTGGTCCTTGCGTCCTTGCAGACATGAGAAACGGTCACATAGATCAAAGTGCGGAGCAGGGCCTGGGGGGACGATGCATACATGAGGCTGAGCCTTGGGCTGCTTTACAGCAAAGCGGACTGCTATTACATTTGGGTCTCCTCTGGCTACTGCAGGCTGGTAGCAGCTTGGTATATATGAAAAATACATTTTCTTTTTTCAAAGCTTGCATAGGTTTTTAAAGCGCATTGCATCACTTTGAAGTGCAGAATACAACTGACACAGCTACATCCATATTGCAACTACAAACTTTTATTTGCGTTTTAGTAGTTAAAGTTTGCCTTTGACAAAAAGCTGCATTTTTGTTCAGCCCCATTTACTCTGAGCCCCCTTAAAGACAATCCAGCGCCTTCAAACGTGACCCAATTAATGCTGTTTATGCAGCTTAACATTCTTTTGACCTCAAACCTCTTTTTATATAACTTCAGTACTCAGTGGGTAAAACTAAAATGCCAATATTTCTCAAAACCCTCTTCAGTTATCCAGTACATTAATCCATGTAGTGCTTAAAATCTAGGTGTTTGACTTGTAATGTTGCAATATACACCACTCGGGGGAAAAGGATAATCCTTGTATTAGTGCATGACAAAAGAGTGCAAAAGAATTAAAGTACTTTTTTGTTCTTGAATACCAGACGTCCATCAGCTTTCAGTGATCAGCGATCTGCACCAATCCAAAGATCCAAAGCGCTAATTGGCCGTACATCTTCATTTATGAAAAGGTTAATTAGCATCCCATTATGTGGGTGATGGAAAGCTGTGATGGATGGCGTAATGGCTTTTACTCCAGATGTGTTCTGCTGCCGTTCACTGCAGCTTGCATGATGTATGTCAAGATTTCCCCATTAATCGACTGGGTAGCGTAGCGCCACCGAGCAGTTTGGAGTTCAAAATACCAAACGCTGTTTTTATTTCCCGCCGCGTGTTTCCTCATCGCACGTAACTCCCAGAACAACAAGAGATCTTCAAATCAGGATCTGAGAAAAGCTGTCTTAATCGATGAAAATGGGAGAAAAATACTTAGGAGTTAATCTCTTGTGAAAATGACTGTAGTGTACAAAGTACAGTGGAAATGCCAAAAAACATCACAAAGAGCGAACACAGCCATTCAAGGTGCCATCTTGGATCTTAAGGCAGCAGCTTATACACAGTCTAAGAAACAGCTTGAGAATCTATGCACCGGGACAAGAGGTTTAACCCTTACTACAATAGTGTCATGAACACCGCTTTAAATGCTTCTGGTTTTACTGAAACCATGGCAACATATGCGCCCCACTAATTGGTGCATATTTGACACATTATGGGAAAAGGATAACGGAGAACCATGACTGTGTTGAACATCCACCCAGAAGTGAGCCAATGACAAAGATGAGCGTCGTCCAGGCAACAGGTCAGAAATGTGCATTTAGTCATGATAGACGTAAAAAAAAAAAAAGTAGCTATCTAGTAAGGGCATATTAGCAGCTAGTTAGCACTAGCCTGAACTGTCTCAAGTTCCACAATGCAATGCTGGTACTTTTAAGTAATTCAAACTGTTTCCATGATGAAAAAATAAATAAATAAATACACGACATTCGTTAAATAGTCCCTCCAGGACAATATTTAAGACATGTAAGTAACATATTTAAGACCAACTTACATTTTAAAATAATTATAAGAAATTTTAAGGCCCTAATTTTAGATGCAAGTAGTTCAGACTTTTTAAGGGTTCGGGACAAAACGACCAATGAGGAGACTTGTTCCTGGATGCATCATGATCACATGTAGTGAGGATCTTCTGGTGATCAAAGTTATGCTCCAGCTTTACATCGTTTCACGTTTGAATGCCAAGTACCTGAATTTGTAGAGATTACATATTCATTACCAATATTTTTCATCCAATGCGAAACAACAGATGAGGGCATCCCTAATCAAAATGATTCATTCAAAGACTAATGCAGCAGTAGAGAGTAAAGTATAGTATTGCTTCTTTCTTCACTCCCTTTGGGGTGGTACACCACTGTAATAAATAAGACCTCAGTCAGCCTTGTCCACATGAGGACATATGTAAATCTGCTGGCCAAGAGGCTGGTAAAAACACAACTCACTTCCCTCTGATCACCTTAATCCACATGACATGTTTAAGGTTTGCCGAGGCGGCTTAGCTTAATCAAAAAAATCTCCCCTCTTACTGCTGGTGTTAACCAGAAACAGCCACGCATGCCGTTTTTTTTTTTTTTTTTTTGCTTTATTTTCCTTTGCCCACTGTTTAGAGAACCAGGCCATAAACCATACGTGATTGTTGGAATTACAATAATGCAGGCAGTTTGTAATCCCTGCCAGAAGGGGACTGCTTAATCACAGCAGTGGGGTGAGATATCACCGTCAACAGACATTTGTCTACGATATTTGTAATCTATAGCCTCATTTGGAAACATGATCACTTTAATAACCAGTGCATACAACAAGTACAGACAAGGAGAAGGAGGGTGGTGGGAAGGGAGGGGGAGTGAAAACATTTTTCATGCAACACATACTTTTCCCCTGATTAAAATTACCATAACATCCTGGGGGGGCAGTGAGATCTTTGCCATGTATTATTTATATCAAACAACCTTTAAGCACTTAATAGAACCTTTAGCAAATGCACACGCATGCCTAGGTGCAAAAGGAGAAATTAATATGCACGATCTGTGATGGCGCGATTTAATTGTTATTTATTTTACCAGTGCAATTACAAAATAATTAGCATTAGGCCATGGTGTGATTGAGCAAATAACCTGATCTAGACTCTTATCTAGAGCCGAGTACGGTAATCAGTGCAAAAAAAAAAAAACAAACAAAAAACACTCGACTACTTCTGGAAGAGTTCGGAGACCATGTTGGTTGATTGATGATCGGTCATAATGTTAAATGGCACAATAACAGCGTTGTTGTTTATTGCCCTACCTTGTGCTGTTCCTCTCTTAAGGACATCCTAAGGGGCACCGTGCGTCCAACAATAACAAAAATCCTTCTTTTCAAATGGAGCTTGTAGCCCTGAAAGCAGAAAAACAGAAAAATAAATCAATAGCCACACAATCAACCCCAGGTGGCTTCAACATTTATTTGAAGCACAAAAAAACAAAAAAACAAAGACAAAAAGAGAAGAAGTTATTCAAGTTCCTTTTTTCTTTCAGTTTGTGATCTGGTGTCTTGTCCTCGTTTGGGCTGCTTTACTTCCCATTTGTCCAACCATGACTTAATATCATCTACATGTTTTTTTTTTTTTTTTTTTTTCACATTACAACCTCAAACTTCAATTGGATAATGAGCAAGTCTTGAGCATGAAGGTATTAAATTCCAGCTTAAATCTGCAAATTTGCACATTTTAAAATGGCCGTTTGAAATACGTTGCTATGTTTTATGTATGAAAATCATGACAAAAATGCTGACTATATATATATATAACTATTAGTGCACCCACACTAATCTCACTAGACCAACCTTTCTCCTCCCTGTTTTAATAAGCTCCATCTTATCTTAGTTTTTATCGCAAGCAGTCATAAAATCTACTGCGAAGTCTACGGCTTAATTGGCGATAATTTATTACTGTATCACTGGTGACTGAATTGGCTTAAATTGTCCATGGGCAAGTTTATGCATAAGTGAAGCCTTAGAGGAATCTTAATTTTCAGAGCTGGAATGATGTTTGACAAAGTATGTGAAAGGTTAAAGAAAAAAGAAAAAAACAAAAGCATGTACAGTGGAGAAAACTGGAAAGGATTTCTGGAGGAAAAAAAAATCATCTACGAAAAGTATAACAAAGTACCTGAGAGATTTGGCCCTTCAGTTGATTTATCTACTGTCCCCGTCAAAGTCTCTGCAGAGATGACATTAGTGTCGAGAAACTGAGAAAAGACATATGCCATATTGCACAAGGAGGGTATGACTAAAACTGGAGTCCTTGCTTTTTGACCAGCCAATCACATCTACGCCAAGTTTCTGCAGAACTTCCCAGTCGAAACGGAAGCTTTCCAGGAACACGTAAGGCACGTTGGAATGTTCCTGGAATAGTTTTAACCTGCCGGTGCTCCGTGTGCTCATCTGATAAGAGTATTCAGAATGAAACATGCACAATAAACCCAACCTCTGCATCCTTTTACTTCCTTCCTCCTGGTTGCTAAATTACATACCAGATTTTTTATTTTTTATTTTTTTCTCTTTGACGGAGTGACAAATGCATTTTCCAAAAAGAGCCTCCGAATTGTTTTGGTTTCCCAGTAATGGTGTCGTTTTTATATTGTTTTAATTTTGCAAGCAGGAAGTTCATTTGGTGACAAAAGCGCTGGAACAAACTAATTTAACTTCTCCAAAAGTAAAGCCATTAAGTAGAAAAAAACAGAAGCTGAATATGAAATTGAACACAGTTTAAATCTCATCAATAGGAAGACGTACGACAAGAGGTACATAAAATAAAATCCTTTCATTTCTGATGAACATTACCATATTTAACTGCTTTGACCTTCAAGTTTTTCCTGATAACTTCATCCAAGACCTTTAATTCAAATACACAGTGGTAGGCATACAGTTAAAGTTGTTCTCCCTGATGGCAGTTTAACCTTGAGGTAGTAATTAATCACCTCTAGGAAAATTTAATGACTTAAATAAGAGGTGAGTATCCTCTGAAGTAAAGCATATGCTCCTCCTGGAAGCGCTGTCATCAAATTTAATGGGATGAACGGGAGACGTTTCTTTAGCTAATGAATGTGGTCAAAATGAAGTCGGGTTGATAACGGATTTAACTCTGGTCTCCATGGAGACCCAGCAAGTATAAATAAAAACCACCCAGTGAATCCATATTGCGCGACACGTTTTAGACTTTCAGTGTGTACTGTGCTGGTTTGTCATTAGGGGCATTGAGGACGAGTGTGGGAACTTGGTTTGGTATCCCGGTGCCGCCATTGACCAGGGCCGGATTTAGAAGGATGAGGGCCAGCAGTTTCGGGTGCCCTGTCCAGAAAAACAGAGGAAAACAAAACAAAGATAAAGGTACTTTATTAGGTAGAGCTAAACATCAGCAAGTTTGAAATGTCCCACGTCGGTCCCAAAGAGACATACAATATTCATTTCAAAAATTAATATTTCAGGTGCTCCCAAAACTTGGCGCCCTGGGTTACTGCCCCATAAACCCTTTCTAAAGTCCAGCCCAGATTTTGACAACTACAGGAGTTTTGCCCACTTTTCTTTGGATGATTACCTTCATTTAGCCACACTGGGAGGTTTGGAAGCCTGTTTTAAGTCATGCCACAGCCTCTCAATATAATACAAGTCCAAACTTTGACTGACCTACTGCGATAAATTCATTTTGCGGATTTTGAGCCATTGGTACGTAATCTTTCGTGCCTCCAGTCATTATTGTTCTGCATAACCCAAGTACGTGTTGAGATTGTGGTAACAAAACCAACAAACGGACATTTCCCCTCATAAAAATTGATATATTTTTGGCTAATTTCTTCATTTTTCTTGTTCTCTAGTTCTCACTTGAGTACTTTGCTGTAACAAACCCTTAGACTGCCTAGCCTAGCATTAGCACAATAGCATTCAAATAGCATTGAAGAAAAGAAGCGGTGTTCTCATCATTAGAGCAAAATCAAAGGTAAGTTGGATGTTTGTTAAACTTTTTAATTGTGTAATTTTGAGTGATTGTTCATCTCCACTTTATCATGAATACTAAGAGGTCAAGCCAGGTTTGAATTTTGCGTGATCCTGTATCATAATTATTGAATAGATGTTCAAGGGGCAGTGACTGTGGAGTTTTTACAGGCACAAAAGTCATTAGTGATGATCGGTACATTTCTGTCCAATTTTTGCTCGACTTCAGTCGAGGCTAATTAGCATACTTTCAAACCGAGGCCTTGCTCCTCCTGCCAGCTCTGTTCTCTTTATTTAGCCAGTTAATTTCCCACAGCCAGTCCGAGCCAGCCTCTACCTCAGTCAGTCAGCTTTGGAAGTTGTTCATTTTTTATTTTTATTTTTTCCCATTTGCAATGTTACCGCGTGGTAAACTGATGTATTTACTTCTGGTCTGTCATGCAGTGCTAAGTGTGTGATAATGTTGTGCAGAGGGAGTGCATTGTGGTCTGCTGTCGAGTTGCTTGTGGAGAATTCCTCCTATCAGCTTCCGACGCCTCAGAGGAATCCCCGTGAAACCCGGTCTATCAGTCCATTCAGGTTCTTTGACTCACTAACTGATGGTGCTGCCTCAACAGAGAGCTGTGGAGAAAATCTTTGCTTCACTACAGATTCAAGAAAACATATAAAACCACAATAAATGAGGAATTTCTCAAGAGCAACGTTCTTAGTCATGTTCCCCACCAAGCAAGAGATGACATCTGCCAAGTGTGCAAAGGGGTTGGTTGCAAAATGTCCTAATAGAGGCATGTTTCGTTGTCTCCTCACTTGAAGTCTTTTTGTTGCTGTTGTTTTGACTAAACATCTTGTTCATTATCACACAAGCTTCACTGGAGATTTTGTTACTTTTGTCCAGTCTCCATTTCCAGCGATCAACCAACATCCGAGAAATTGTTGTGTGCCTTTTATCGCGTTGTGTTCGATTCAGACGACGTTCTCTTTTCACACAAAGCCCTACGACGTAATTTTGCCAGCTCTCTGCATCTACTCCATTCGTCTTGTTCCACAACTGCAGAGTTGTCGGGACTTGCATCCTTCTAACATCTGTCGAAATACTCAATGTGCATAATGAGAAGGAAAATGAAAAAAGCCCAAATTGTCTAAATCTGGAACAAAACTTCAGCCTTGAGAGTGATAGAAACACTGGTCCTTTTAAGCTTTATGTCTCCCACAGAAACTCCAACGAAAGAGATAGAGAGAGACTGACAGACAAGCGGGAGAAGTCTAAGTGTTTCATGATGTAGCTGAAGGTGTTGTTGAAGCTGTCCTCAAGGTCCATGACTGAAGTGCAAGGTGAGATTGTTAAGGTGTGACAGGAAAGCTGTTGGTCCAGAAGGGCTTTAGTTCTTTGTGACAGGAGGCATGTGAGGAGACTGTAGAGCGTTCTCCTGAAGTGAACACGTTTGGGGAAAAAATACCTTTAGCCATTGGGGCTGAATGAGATTCAATTTGGTTCGCTTAAGCCATTATAAAAGTACGTCCTCAAATTCAAAGTCTACGGTGCCCAATGGATGTTGGCGAGCTTCATATTTTATTTTTTGGGAAAAAAAAAAACAAAAAAACTTGAGATCTATCATGGTTTGTTTTACGGACCAAAGTGCAGGAAACCAACGGGGATGTTTTTTTTGTTTTTTTTTAACGAAGGGGATAAAAAAAATGTACTTATTTGCCCAGAGAAGTACAGATAGAAAATATAACGTAGGAATAGATAAACACAGGAAACTAACACAAAAGCCCAACACATAAGCTATTCAACAGCTAAGGAAAGCCTCATCAAAACGCAAGCAAGATCAACAGAAAAAGAATAGATGAGAATGAGTCCAAATAACAAAAAAGACCAAACATGTGAAACCAAGAGAAAGCAAAAACCAAAGTAACTCTGAATCCTGACAAAAACATTTCAGTGGGGGAAAAAACTATGTCACACTAGTTAAACTATTCCAATAGAAATGAAAGTGAAACTTTACTTTTGGGGTTGATAACGGTTTCTGTTTGCTGCATTTTGAAATTTGCGTTGAACGTTTTCCTAATGAATCTTCCACAGGAAGGCAAGAAAGTGTGAGTTTTTCCATTAAGTTTATCGTAATTCCCTCTAATTATAGTCTTGCGGCTCGGCTCAGATGGGAGAATGCCGTTGTCAGTCCAACAATCCTAAATTGCAAACAAGCTGTTGCTGTAGTGGCTGTGTTTCAACTGAACCTGCCAAAGTGGAGCTTATATAGTTAGTGGCTTTAAGATTGCTTAGAGCTTTTTCTCTATTTTCATTTTTTCCTTTTCAGTCAAGAAACCCCCCCAAAAAACTTTCAATTATCTCCACAGTTAAGCATTAAAGATGTGAAGATGTGGCAAACAGCAACGGTTTGGAGAGACGGATAAATGATGAAAGTCTTAAAGCAGATTTCTATTTTTATTTATTATTTATTTTTTTCCCCCAGACTGACTGAAACAGGTACTGTAATACAAATGGACAATGGAAAAATTTCCTAACCATCCCGTCCCCTTCAATTTAATGTTTAATGTCAAGGCCACATATAATTACGGCGAGCTTATCTCGTCATCGCCTTGCAGTGGGGAGCCTTCAAAGCCCGATCAAAATGCATATATGCTTTTGATCCAATATCTCTGCCCCCTTTATCATGTTTCGGCAGGATTATTGGGATCACTGTCTGTCGGAAGCAATCTGAGGACCCAGATGGAAAGCATGACCAGCCAAACTCTGTTTTTCTGCTTGGTTAATCCGACAGCACCTTCTGAGGAGATCCAATTAAATCTCTCCTTCAAAGAATATGTGACTGCCCGGGCATAGAGGAGATGAGATGAGAATGACGGGCGGCGAAGGAAGGAGGGAGGGGGGGAAAGAAAAAGGATACTCCGATGGGAAGGCGATCTTGTGTTTTAATCGTAGTGGATCGCCGTTATCCGGTTGAATCCGGCGCCGCGCACCAGGAAACCACGTTCTGGACAGTGGGAGATTAAAAGTGCTTTATGTGTGTGTGTGTGTGTTTTTTTTTTTTATGAACATGGAGGGCAAAAATGAATGCATGGGAGTTACGAGGCCGCGCGGATAAACACATCATATATCTGTTGATTAAGGTGATAAGATAAACACCCTTTTAGATGAGATTTGTCAGCGCCTGTGATTACAGGGCAGAACACAAATTTCACAGTGACACACTGGATTAACACCATAAATTACTGCTTGAGCCTCGGAGAGCGAGGGCCATCTTTTCTCTTGGCGGCGGGGCGATTCATTCGCGGCACATTCATAATGCCAATTATGCGTTTTGTGGCGCACTTTCAGTCGTGATGCTTTCTTGGAACGGTTTCGCCGGCAAATTACTCGACTTCTGGAGCGACTCATAACTGGGCCGAATGAAAGCGGGGAAAAAAAATGGAAAAATAAAAAACTCAGTGAATTGTTTTGGTGTGCTCTCTTGCAAGTTTATGGCCTAAACTTCAAAGTTTATTAATATTGTTTTGCAGAAATGGTTTGGTAAAAGTGTCCACATCCATTTAATATTTCCACAGTAATTCACATTTTATTATATGGTACGCACAAGCCCACAGTGGTGTAAAATTATAAAGTGTAACATGGTGTCCAAATCTATTTTCCATTCGTCTTGAGTGAATTAACACTTTGTAGAACCATGATTTTTTTTCTGCTGCAGCAGCGTCTAGTTGGAGGTTTAACTCAGTAAGTAGCCCTGTTGCTTTTGTTGATCAATTCAGAGATTTGCTTAGACATTGATTATGCAAGTGCTTCTAGTGTGCTGGAGGGAAAATTGCTCCATGTTGTGAAAATGGCTTCACGCAGGGCCTGCAGAGACTGAAACAGTCTTGGTAAATATCCGTTGCCATCAAGACACAAATATTGTCTTTCGACTCAGGTCAGGGGAAGACAGAGTGGTCCAAATACATGATGTATTCATTAAGAAAATGTAAATATCAGATACACATTTGCGTTACTAAGCAACCTTAAAGTCAAAACATTTACCCACTAAACCCTGTACTTAAACTACCAACATGCTACTTAAAGCTAAATTGGCTAGGTAGATTTCTAATTTAATCAAGTAAATATTGAGTTATTTCATAATTTCAGCAGAATCCCCAGTGTTACTATGAATGATGGGAGATGCAGTCGTCCCAACAAATGTCCAACGCCTTGCTTTTGCATGTCCACAATCCTGCCACATTTGCCATCAGCAAGTCATTACAATGTGAATGCCGAACAAAAAACTAAAATAAAATAAAATAAAAAGCCAGATTTGATCCAAACCGTTTAATTTTAGATGAAGTTTTTCCAATGAACTGCTTCTTAT